GAGCGAGCGGAGAGGGGGGAGGCTCCTGGGTGAATCCCGCCGGGTTTGGGGGGGGTTGGGCCCAGCCCTGCCCTTTGCTGCCCCCCCCCCACCACCCCCAGAAACCGAGGTTTAGGTCGGGGCCGGGGCAGGGGCCGGGGTCGGAGCCGGGGACGGAGCCGGGGACGGAGCCGTTCGGCCCCGCAGCGGCCCCATCGCCGGGAGCGCACATCCGGGAACCCAGCGGGGGCTTGAGAGGGAGAGGAGACAATGAGGGAGGGGAGGGACCGGGAATGGGGGGGAAGGAAAGGGGGGGAGAGGAGAGGGAATGGGGATGGGAAGGGGAATGGGGATGGGGGGGATCAGGATGGGAATGGGAATGGGAATGGGAATGGGAATGGAAAGATGAGAATGGGAATGGGAAGGATGGGGATGGGAAGGGGAATGTGAAGGATGGGGGTCAGGATGGAGATGGGAAGGGGAATGGGAACAGGAATGGGAAGGATGGGGGTCAGGATGGGAATGGGAAGAATGGGAATGGGAAGGATGGGGATGGGGATGGGAAGGGGAATGGGAATGGGAAGGATGGGAATGGGAAGGATGGGGATGGGGATGGGAAGGGGAATGGAAAGATGAGAATGGGAATGGGAAGGATGGGGATGGGGATGGGAAGGGGAAGGGGAACGGGAAGGATGGGGGTCAGGATGGGAATGGGAATGGAAAGGTGGGAATGGGAAGGATGGGAATGGGAAAGGGGGAATGGGAAGAAAGGGAATGGGAAGAATGGGAATGGGAAGGATGGGGGTCAGGATGGGAATGGGAAAGGGGGAATGGGAAGGGGAATGGGAAGGATGGGGGTCAGGATGGGAATGAGAATGGAAAGATGAGAATGGGAATGGGAAGGATGGGGGTCAGGATGGGAATGGGAATGGGAATGGGAAGGACGGGGATGGGGATGGGAAGGGGAATGGGAATGGGAAGGATGGGGGTCAGGATGGGAATGGGGATGGGAAGGGGAATGGGAATGGGAAGAATGGGAATGGGAAGAATGGGAATGGGAAGAATGGGGGTCAGGATGGGAATGGGAAGGATGGGAATGGGAAAGGGGGAATGGGAAGGGGAATGGGAAGGATGGGGGTCAGGATGGGAATGGGAAGGGTGGGAATGGGATAGGAATGGTGGGGATCAGGATGGGAATGGGAATGGGAAGAATGGGAATGGGAAGGATGGGGGTCAGGGTGGGAATGGTGGGGGTCAGAATGGGAATGGGAATGGGAAGAATGGGAATGGGAAAGATGGGGGTCAGGGTGGGAATGGTGGGGGTCAGAATGGGAATGGGAAGGTGGGAATGGGAAAGATGGGGGTCAGGATGGGAATGGGAATGGGAATGGGAATGGGAAGGATGGGGATGGGAAGGGGAATGGGAATGGGAAGGATGAGGGTCAGGATGGGAATGGGAATGGAAAGATGAGAATGGGAATGGGAAGGATGGGGATGGGGATGGGAAGGGGAATGGGAATGGGAATGGGAAGGTTGGGGGTCAGCATGGGAATGGGAATGTAAAGGTGGGAATGGGAAGAATGGGACTGAGAAGGATGGGGATGGGGATAGGAAAGTGTGAATGGGAAGAATGGGAGTGGGAACGATGGGGGTCAGGATGGGAATGGGAATGGGAAGGATGAGGGTCAGAATGGGAATGGTGGGGGTCAGAATGGGAATGGGAAAGATGGGAATGAGGATGGGGAACAGGATGGGAATGGTGGGGATCAGGATGGGAAGGATGGGGATGGGAATGGGAATGGTGGGGATCAGGATGGGAATGGTGGGGGTCATAATGAGAAGGATGGGGATGGGAATGGGAAGGATGGGAATGGTGGGGATCAGGATGGGAATGGGAAAGATGGGAATGGTGGGGATCAGGATGGGAATGGTGGGGATCAGGATGGGAAGGATGGGGATGGGAATGGGAATGGTGGGAGTCAGGATGGGAATGGTGGGGGTCATAATGAGAAGGATGGGGATGGGAATGGGAAAGATGGGAATGGTGGGGATCAGAATAGGAATCATCATGGGAATGGTGGGGATCAGGACGGGAATGGTGGGGATCAGGACGGGAATGGTGGGGATCAGGATGGGAATGATGGGGATCAGGACGGGAATGGTGGGGATCAGGACGGGAATGGTGGGGATCAGGATGGGAATGATGGGGATCAGGACGGGAATGGTGGGGATCAGGACGGGAATGATGGGGATCAGGATGGGAATGGTGGGGATCAGGACGGGAATGATGGGGATCATCATGGGAATGATGGGGATCAGGATGGGAATGGTGGGGATCAGGATGGGAATGATGGGGATCAGGATGGGAATGGTGGGGATCATCATGGGAATGATGGGGATCAGGATGGGATCTCATAGGGATAGAGGGAAGCGGGGCCCCAGGGCTGGCTGCGGGGTAAGGAAGGCAATGGGATTCCTGTTGGGAATTCCCAAGGGCTTGGTCCTCAAATGGGAAAAGCGACTTTGGATCCAAGCGGGACAAAGGGGTGGGAGTGAGCCCGGAGCCATGGAATTCCCTACGGGAAGGAGGCCGTTGTCCCAGGAAGTTGGGAATGCTGCAAGGAGCAGCCCTTAAAGGCCTATTCCCAACCTAATCCGAGGCAACATTCCCAATGTGGGGATATGGGATGTATGGGATAGATGGGACATATGGGGTAGATGGGATATGGGATAGATGGGACAGATGGGATAGATGGGATATGGGATAGATGGGATACATGGGATAGATGGGATATGGGATAGATGGGATAGATGGGATAGATGGGATATGGGATAGATGGGACAGATAGGATATATGGGATATGGGATAGATGGGATAGATGGGATATGGGATAGATGGGATAGATGGGATAGATGGGATATGGGATAGATGGGATATGGGATAGATGGGAATATGGGATAGATGGGATAGATGGGATATGGGATGTATGGGATAGATGGGACATATGGGATAGATGGGATATGGGATGTATGGGATAGATGGGATATGGGATAGATGGGATATGGGATAGATGGGATAGATGGGATATATGGGATACATGGGATATATGGGATATATGGGGATATAGGATATATGGGATATGGGATAGATGGGATATATGGGATATATGGAATATACAGAATATGGGATATATGTGATATATGGGAATACGGAATATGGGATATATGGGATATGGAATATATGGAAATATGGGATATGGGATATATGGGATATGGGATATATGGAAATATGGGATATGGGATATATGGGATATGGGATATATGGAAATATGGGATATGGGATATGGGATATATGGGATATATGGGATATATAGGATACGGGATATATGGGATATATGGGGATATGGGATACATGGGATATATGGGATATATGGGATTCCTGCTTCCATCGCTCCCCTCCGAAGCCATCCCGATCCCAACTCCCGGCGATGCCATTCCCAGTTTTTCCCCCCCCTCCATTCCCGGTTTTCCGGCCGCTCGGAATGCCGCCGGCAAGACGCATGGGGGCTAAATCCATCAGGAATACCGACGGCTAAGAACAGGATAACGGGATACCCGGGACAAAGGGATGCCGGCGAACTCACCCATGGAATTCCTCAACCCTGGATGCGCTTCCCAGTTTTCCCCTCTCGTCTCCTCCTCAGGTTTTCCGCCTCTGGAAAAGAGAGAGGAAAAGTTTGGGATGGGATCTTGGGAATCGCTTCCCGATCCGGTTCCTTGGCAGCGGGACGGCATTCCCGGCCCCTCATTGAACCCATTGGAGCATCCGTAGGGATGGAGGAGCATCCTCGGCCTTATCCCGGATGCGATGGCTAGAGGACGGCTGGAATGCCATGGAATCCCATGGAATGCTATGGAATGCTATGGAATGCCATGGAATGCTATGGAATGCTATGGAATGCCATGGAATGCTATGGAATGCCATGGAATTCTATGGAAAGCCATGGAATGCTATGGAAAGCCATGGAATGCTATGGAATGCCATGGAATTCTATGGAAAGCCATGGAATGCTATGGAAAGCCATGGAATGCTATGGAATGCTATGGAATGCTATGGAATGCCGTGGAAAAACGGCGATCCCGGGATCCACAGTGCCTGGATGAGTTGCTCCCAACGGGAAGGCTTTGGGAATGACGTCCTTTGCTTCCGGGACAATGGAATTTGGAGGGGGTATGGAGCTGCATCCATAGGGATACGCCATGGGAATGGCGACAGCTCCGGAGGCGCATTCCGAAGCATTCCAAACGGGAGGAATGGGCCTCTTTGGCCTCACCTCATCCCACTTGGCTCCCGGAATTCCCTCCCTCTCTTGGGAATGGCTCCGGGAATCCCGAATTCCTCACCTCTGGAATGGCAGGAGCCTGGGGGTCCCTTCCGTAGGCTTTCCCTGCTGGAAGCGTGGCACGCCGATGGGGCATCCCAACAGCTGGAATTCCACAGCGAGCTTCCCAATGTCCAGTGGGCCCCGCGACGGCGCTCCCCGATCCCTGCTTTCCGCACGGGAATCCCACGGGAATCACGCCTCCCGGGGGCTTTGCCAATGGAATTCCGTGGTTTTCCGGGCCTCAGCCCATGCCTGCCCAAGGAGAAGGCTAAGGACATGAGGCTGCCATTCCCACCTCCTTTCCCTATGGAATTCCCATCTCCTTTCCCTATGGAATTCCCACCTCCTTTCCCTATGGAATTCCCACCTCCTTTCCCTATGGAATTCCCACCTCCTTTCCCTATGGAATTCCCACCTCCTTTCCTTATGGAATTCCCACCTCCTTTCCCTATGGAATTCCCACTTCCTTTCCCTCTGCCATTCCCACCTCCTTTCCCTATGGAATTCCCATCTCATTTCCCTCTGCCATTCCCAGCTCCTTTCCCTATGGAATTCCCATCTCCTTTCCCTATGCCATTCCCACCTCCTTTCCCTATGGAATTCCCATCTCATTTCCCTCTGCCATTCCCAGCTCCTTTCCCTATGGAATTCCCATCTCCTTTCCCTATGGAATACCCATCTCCTTTCCCTATGGAATTCCCACCTCCTTTCCCTCTGCCATTCCCACCTCCTTTCCCTATGGAATTCCCACTTTAGGAGCGGGATGCTGGAGCAAGGATGCTGGATGGGATGCTGAGCAGGGATGGGATATGGGATGCAAGCAGGGATGCTCTATGGGATGCTGGGCAGGGATGCAGGATGGGATGCAAGCAGGGATGGGATATGGGATGCTCTATGGGATGCTGAGCAGGGATGCAGGATGGGATGCTCTACGGGATGCTCTATGGGATACTCTATGGGATGCTCTATGGGATGCTCTATGGGATGCTCTATGGGATGCTCTATGGAATGCCCTATGGGATGCTCTATGGGATGCTCTATGGGATGCTCCATGGGATGCTCTATGGGATGCTCTACGGGATGCCCTATGGGATGCCCTATGGAATGCTCTATGGGATGCCCTATGGAATGCCCTATGGGATGCTCTATGGGATGCCCTATGGGATGCTCTATGGGATGCTCTATGGGATGCTCCATGGGATGCTCTATGGGGTGCTCTATGGGATGCTCTATGGGATGCTCTATGAGATGCTCTATGGGATGCTCTATGGGATGCTGAGCAGGGATGCAGGATGGGATGCAAGCAGGGAGGGGATATGGGATCCCTACTCATCCCCCCCATCCACCATTCCCACTCCACGTCCCCTCTCCCTCCACTTCCACGGACCCCGACATTCCAAGTCTCCTATTGTCCCTTGTTTGGGATCCCTGCCAGCGCCAGCATCCCAATGCCCTAATTCCAAAGGCGGAATTCCAGCTTTTCCCTGCGAGCATCCCGAGTCCCTGTTCCGTATCCCGGTGGGAAGGCATCACCCCCCCCCCCCACCCATCCCGTTCTCCTTTGGGATGCAGAGGCTGGAATGCACTGGGAATTGGCCTTAAGGCTTGGAAGCAGGAATAATCCTACCTGGATGGGATCCGCCTGGATGCTGGGATGCGGCTGGGATGCGGTCGGGATGCGGTCGGGATGCAGTTGGGATGCGGCTGGGATGCGGCTGGGATGCGGTCGGGATGCGGTCGGGATGCGGTCGGGATGCGGTCGGGATGCGGTCGGGATGTGGCTGGGATGCGGCCGGGATGCGGCCGGGATGCGGTCGGGATGCGGCTGGGATGCGGCTGGGATGCGCCCGGGATGCGGTCGGGATGCGGTCGGGATGCGGTCGGGATGCGGCTGGGATGCGGCTGGGATGCGGCTGGGATGCGGCTGGGATGCGGTCGGGATGCGGCCGGGATGCGGCTGGGATGGGACTGGGATGCGGTCGGGATGCGGTTGGGATGCAGCTGGGATGCGGTCGGGATGCGGCTGGGATGCGGTCGGGATGCGGTCGGGATGCAGTTGGGATGCGGCTGGGATGCGGTCGGGATGCGGTCGGGATGCCGTCAGGATGCGGTAGGGATGCAGTCGGGATGCGGCTGGGATGAGGTCAGGATGCGGTCGGGATGTGGTCGGGATGCGGCTGGGATGCGGTCGGGATGCGGCTGGGATGCGGTCGGGATGCGGCTGGGATGCGGTCGGGATGCGGCTGGGATGCGGTTGGGATGTGGCTGGGATGCGGTCCGGATGCGGCTGGGATGCGGTTGGGATGCGGTCGGGATGCAGCCGGGATGCGGTTGGGATGCAGTCGGGATGCGGTCGGGATGCGGCTGGGATGCGGTCGGGATGCGGCTGGGATGCGGTCGGGATGCAGCTGGGATGCGGTCGGGATGCGGCCGGGATGCGGTCGGGATGCGGCTGGGATGCGGTCGGGATGCAGTCAGGATGCGGCTGGGATGCGGTCGGGATGCGGTCGGGATGCGGCTGGGATGCGGTCGGGATGCGGCTGGGATGCGGCTGGGATGCGGTCGGGATGCGGTTGGGATGCAGCTGGGATGCGGTCGGGATGCGGCTGGGATGCGACTGGGATGCGGTCGGGATGCGGTTGGGATGCAGCTGGGATGCGGTCGGGATGTGGTTGGGATGCGGTTGGGATGCGGTCGGGATGCGGTCGGGATGCGGCTGGGATGTGCCCGGGATGCACCCGGAATGTGGTCGGGATGCGGCTGGGATGCGCCCGGGATGCGGCTGGGATGCGGTCGGGATGCGGCTGGGATGCGGTCGGGATGTGGTCGGGACGCGGCTGGGATGCAGTTGGGACGCACCTGGGATGCGGCTGGGATGCGGCTGGGATGCAGCTGGGATGCGGTTTGGATGCGGTCGGGATGCAGCTGGGATGTGGCTGGGATGCGGTCGGGATGCAGTCGGGATGCGGTCGGGATGCGGCTGGGATGCGGTCGGGATGCAGCTGGGATGTGGTTGGGATGCAGTCGGGATGCGGTCGGGATGCAGTTGGGAGCACAGTGGGTACCAGCCTCGTCCCCCTGGGATCCATCTGGAAGAGGAAACAGGAATGCTGCTGCTCCGGGATCGGGGAATGGCTTGGGAAGGGAGGGGGAAGCGGTTGGAGGGCTTGGACAGGAACATGCATGAACATACATAAACATACATGAACATGCACGTACATACATGAACACGCATGTACATACATGAACACGCATGTACATACATGAACACACATGCACATGCCTGAACATACATATACATGCCTCAACATACATGAACACACATGAACATTAACACACATGAAAACACATGTACATGCATGTAGAAGCACATACATTAACATACACGAACAGGCATGCACATTCATGGACATAAACACATACAAACACGCACGCACATACATGAACACACAAGCACATGCATTAACATACATGAACAAACAGGAGCATACAAGAACACACACGAACACACATGCACATACATGCACAAGCATGTACATGAACACACACGCACATACATGACCGCACATGAACATGCATGAGCATACATGTACATACACAAACACGCATGCACATACATGAACACACATGTACAAACAAGTACATGCACACATACACGAACACACATGCACATACATGAACACGCATGCACGTACATGAACACACACACATGTACATACAAGTACACGCACGAACACACATGCACATACATGAACGCACATGTACATACAAGTACATGCACAAACACACACGCACAGACAGGAACACGCATGCACATACATGACCACGGATGCACATACATGAACACGCATGCACATACATGAACACACATGTGTGTACGTGTGGATGCACATGCATGGACCCACGCACACATGTACACACGTGCACACACTGTACATACCCACTCATACATGTACATACATGAACATGCGCACACGTACATGTACATGCACGCACACGTACATACATGCACATACGTGTGTGCACACACATGTACATACACACGTGTACATACACACGTGTACATACACACACGTGTACATACACACACGTGTACATACACACGTGCACAGCCACGTGCACACCCGCACGGTCACGTGACACCTCCCCTCTTCCCCCGCCGCTTCCCGCCAGGGGCGGGGCCGAGTTCCCGCCAACGGCCCCGCGGTGGCGCCCGGGCCCCGCGCCCAAGGAAGGGGCGGGGCCGGCCCGTGGAAGGGGTCACGTGGCCGTGGCTGCGCGCACGTGGCTGCGCACGTGAGGGTGCGCACGTGTGTGTGTGTACACGTGTGTGTGTGTACACGTGTGTGTGTACACGTGTGTGTGTGTACACGTGTGTGTGTGTACACGTGTGTGTGTACACGTGTGTGTGTGTACACGTGTGTGTACACGTGTGTGTGTGTACACGTGTGTGTGTGTACACGTGTGTGTGTGTACACGTGTGTGTGTACACGTGTGTGTGTGTACACGTGTGTGTGTGTACACGTGTGTGTGTGCACGTGTGTGTGTGTACACGTGTGTGTGTGTACACGTGTGTGTGTGTACACGTGTGTGTGTGTACACGTGTGTGTGTACACGTGTGTGTGTACACGTGTGTGTGTACACGCGTGTGTGTGTACACGTGTGTGTGTACACGTGTGTGTGTGTACACGTGTGTGTGTGTACACGTGTGTGTGTGTACACGTGTGTGTGTACACGTGTGTGTGTACACGTGTGTGTGTCCACGTGTGTGTGTGTACACGTGTGTGTGTACACGTGTGTGTGTGTGCACGTGTGTGTGTACACGTGTGTGTGTACACGTGTGTGTGTGTACACGTGTGTGTGTGTACACGTGTGTGTGTGTACACGTGTGTGTACACGTGTGTGTGTACACGTGTGTGTGTACACGTGTGTGTGTGTACACGTGTGTGTGTACACGTGTGTGTGTGTACACGTGTGTGTGTACACGTGTGTGTGTGTACACGTGTGTGTGTACACGTGTGTGTGTGTACACGTGTGTGTGTACACGTGTGTGTGTGTACACGTGTGTGTGTACACGTGTGTGTGTACACGTGTGTGTGTCCACGTGTGTGTGTGTACACGTGTGTGTGTACACGTGTGTGTGTGTACACGTGTGTGTGTACACGTGTGTGTGTGTACACGTGTGTGTGTACACGTGTGTGTGTGTACACGTGTGTGTGTACACGTGTGTGTGTGTACTCGTGTGTGTACACGTGTGTGTGTGTACACGTGTGTGTGTGTACACGTGTGTGTGTACACGTGTGTGTGTGTACACGTGTGTGTGTACACGTGTGTGTGTGTACACGTGTGTGTGTGCACGTGTGTGTGTGTGCACGTGTGTGTGTGTACACGTGTGTGTGTGTACACGTGTGTGTGTGTACACGTGTGTGTGTACACGTGTGTGTGTGTACACGTGTGTGTGTGTACACGTGTGTGTGTGTACACGTGTGTGTGTGTACACGTGTGTGTGTACACGTGTGTGTGTGTACACGTGTGTGTGTACACGTGTGTGTGTGCACACGTGTGTGTGTACACGTGTGTGTGTGTACACGTGTGTGTGTGTACACGTGTGTGTGTGTACGTGTGTGTGTGTACACGTGTGTGTACACGTGTGTGTGTGTACACGTGTGTGTGTGTGTGTGTGTACACGTGTGTGTGTGCACACACACGTGTGTGTGTACACGTGTGTGTGTGTACACGTGTGTGTGTGTACGTGTGTGTGTGTACACGTGTGTGTGTACACGTGTGTGTGTACACGTGTGTGTGTGTACACGTGTGTGTGTGTACACGTGTGTGTGTGTACACGTGTGTGTGTGTACACGTGTGTGTGTACACGTGTGTGTGTACACGTGTGTGTGTGTACACGTGTGTGTGTACACGTGTGTGTGTGTACACGTGTGTGTGTACACGTGTGTGTGTACACGTGTGTGTGTGTACACGTGTGTGTGTACACACGTGTGTGTGTGTACACGTGTGTGTGTGTACACGTGTGTGTGTACACGTGTGTGTGTACACGTGTGTGTGTACACGTGTGTGTGTACACGTGTGTGTGTGTACACGTGTGTGTGTACACGTGTGTGTGTACAAGTGTGTGTTTACACGTGTGTGTGTGTACACGTGTGTGTGTGTACACGTGTGTGTGTGTACACGTGTGTGTGTACACGTGTGTGTGTGTACACGTGTGTGTGTGTGTGTGTGTACACGTGTGTGTGTACACGTGTGTGTGTACACGTGTGTGTGTGTACACGTGTGTGTGTACACGTGTGTGTGTGTACACGTGTGTGTGTGTACACGTGTGTGTGTACACGTGTGTGTGTACACGTGTGTGTGTCAAAGTGTGTGTACACGGGTGTGTGTAAACGTGTGTGTGTAAAAGTGTGTGTGTGTGTACACGTGTGTGTGTACACGTGTGTGTGTGTACACGTGTGTGTGTGTACACGTGTGTGTGTACACGTGTGTGTGTGTACACGTGTGTGTGTGTACACGTGTGTGTGTACACGTGTGTGTGTGTACACGTGTGTGTGTGTACACGTGTGTGTGTGTACACGTGTGTGTGTACACGTGTGTGTGTGTGTGTGTGTACACGTGTGTGTGTGTACACGTGTGTATATACACGTGTGTGTGTGTACACGTGTGTGTGTGTACACGTGTGTGTGTGTACACGTGTGTGTGTGTACACGTGTGTGTGTGTACACGTGTGTGTGTGTACACGTGTGTGTGTGTACACGTGTGTGTGTGTACACGTGTGTGTGTGTACACGTGTGTGTGTGTACACGTGTGTGTGTGTACACGTGTGTGTGTACACGTGTGTGTGTGTACACGTGTGTGTGTACACGTGTGTGTGTGTACACGTGTGTGTGTGTACACGTGTGTGTACACGTGTGTGTGTGTACACGTGTGTGTGTGTACACGTGTGTGTGTGTACGTGTGTGTGTGTACACGTGTGTGTGTGTACACGTGTGTGTGTGTACTCGTGTGTGTGTGTACACGTGTGTGTGTGTACACGTGTGTGTGTGTACACGTGTGTGTGTGTACACGTGTGTGTGTGTACACGTGTGTGTACACGCGTGTGTGTACACGTGTGTGTGTACACGTGTGTGTGTGTACACGTGTGTGTGTGTACACGTGTGTGTGTGTACACGTGTGTGTGTGTACACGTGTGTGTGTGTGTACACGTGTGTGTGTGTACACGTGTGTGTGTGTACACGTGTGTGTGTACACGTGTGTGTGTGTACACTTGTGTGTGTGTACACGTGTGTGTGTGTACACGTGTGTGTGTGTACACGTGTGTGTGTACACGTGTGTGTGTGTACACGTGTGTGTGTACACGTGTGTGTGTGTACACGTGTGTGTGTGTACACGTGTGTGTGTGTACACGTGTGTGTGTGTACACGTGTGTGTGTGTACACGTGTGTGTGTACACGTGTGTGTGTGTACACGTGTGTGTGTACACGTGTGTGTGTGTACACGTGTGTGTGTACACGTGTGTGTGTGTACACGTGTGTGTGTACACGTGTGTGTGTGTACACGTGTGTGTGTACACGTGTGTGTGTGTACACGTGTGTGTGTGTACACGTGTGTGTGTGTACACGTGTGTGTGTGTACACGTGTGTGTGTGTACACGTGTGTGTGTGTACACGTGTGTGTGTACACGTATATGTGTGTGTGTGTACACGTGTGTGTGTACACGTGTGTGTGTACACGTGTGTGTGTACACGTGTGTGTGTACACGTGTGTGTGTGTGCACGTGTGTGTGTACACGTGTGTGTGTACACGTGTGTGTGTGTACACGTGTGTGTGTGTACACGTGTGTGTGTGCACGTGTGTGTGTACACGTGTGTGTGTGTACACGTGTGTGTGTGTACATGTGTGTGTGTACACGTGTGTGTGTGTACACGTGTGTGTGTGTACACGTGTGTGTGTGTACACGTGTGTGTGTGTACACGTGTGTGTGTACACGTGTGTGTGTACACGTGTGTGTGTGTACACGTGTGTGTGTGTACACGTGTGTGTGTACACGTGTGTGTGTACACGTGTGTGTGTACACGTGTGTGTGTGTACACGTGTGTGTGTACACACACGTGTGTGTGTGTACACGTGTGTGTGTGTACGTGTGTGTGTACACGTGTGTGTACATGTGTG